GATCAGAACTTGGATCTGGTTCCCATCCTGCAGACCTGAAAACCTTCAGTAGTGACAGAAAACATGGATGCACAAAGTCTGACGCAGTTCACCCTAAGCAAGGGTCACCAGGCTTAGCTACAACATTTACGTTGTCACTGCAATCCTGGAGGCACACGACACCAAACGTTTCCCAGAGAATACTGGACAGTGAGTTAGAGCAGCACAAAGATGCTGCTGAAAGACAGTGCACGCCGGGGCACATGACCAGGCCAGCAGGGCTGAGATCCCGACTCTCAGGCCACAGTCAGCACAGCTGGAGACCCTGGCAGGCTTTGCATACTGAGGCTGGGCTCACTCTTGAAAGAAGGAAGGAAAAGGGACCAGAAATGGATCTGGTAAGATAATGGTGACTAACAAAGTGAGGCCGAGTGAGAAATCAGGGAAACAACACCTCCACGACAGCATCCAAAAAATGAAACACCTAGGAATCAACCTAACAAAGGATGTGAAAGACCTCTACATTGAAAAGTACGCACTCTGAAAAAGGAGATTGAAAAGCTACTATGATAGAATCAGAATGGTAAGGGCAAAAAACAAAACAAAAACAGTCCTGAGGATCAGTGGAACAGATTAGAAGATGCAGACACAACTCCAAACACACTCAGCCACCTTAGGCTTGACAAAGGGGCCACACATGTTTACCGGAAGAAAGGTAGCCTCTTTAATACATGGTTCTGGAAAAACTGTCTCTCCAAAGACTAAAACTAGACCCACACCCATGCCTATCACCACAATGCACTAAACCAAAATCAAAATGGTCAAAGATCTAAATACTAAAACAGAAACACTAAATCTACTGAAAAAGAAAGTAGGTAAAAATCTTGAAGACAGGAGTAGGCAGAGAGTTCATGAATAAGACAAACTTTAGGAAGTACTTTACAGAATCAGCTGGGATCATACCTTCTTAAAAAGTTTTTTCAGATCAAAAGAAATCACCAACAGAGTAAAAACCCACAGAATGGGAAAAAAATTTAGCCAACTGTCCGTCAGACAAAGGACTTCTACCTAGAACATATAAAGAATTAAAAATGTCAGATCTCACAAAGACCCAATCCAAAAATGGGCATCTGAGATAAATACACACTTCTCAGATGAAGAAATACAAGTGGAAAATAAATATATGAGAAAAATCTTCAACATCACTGGTTATTCAAGAGATGCAAATTAAAACAACACTGAGATTCCATCTCACCCTAGAAAGAATGGCTATCATCAAGAAACCAACCAATAACAAATGCTGGTGGAGCTGAAGGGGAAAAGGAACCCTTCCCCACTGCTGGTGGGACTGTAGACTGGGGCAACCACTGTGGAAACCAGTATGGAGATTCCTCAACCCAGCTATTCCCCTTCTGGATATCTTCCCAGAAGATCTGAAAACATCATGCCACATTGATATATGTACACCCATGTTTATAGCAAAAAAATTTGTAACAGCTAAATCGTGAAAACAATCCAAAAATGCCTATCAACTGAGGAATAGATTAAAAAGGTGTGGTATTTTTATACAATGGAGTATTACTCATTCACAAAGAAGGATCACATTGAGGCTTTTATAGGTAAATGGATGCAAACTGAGACCATACTCATAATGAAATAAATCAGACTCGCATGTGTAAACATCATGTCTATGTAGTGTGAGAAGCGGAATGAGTAAAAAAGATCCAAAATGTGCAATAGATATTGTGGAAGGGGAAGGGAAAGAAACTACTCAAAAGGAAAGAACAACTGACATGAGGGAAAGGAGAAAAAAAAAGAAAGAGATATAGATAATTATACTGCTGATCTCTGTTAGTTCTGCCAAAAGAATGGTTTGTGCTTTGTTTGATCAACTTTGAGAGCCTATATCTTGTAACCTGAGCAACTACTTTGCCGATAACAATATGCAATATATTAATCATTGTTAGTCTCCTATTACTTTGTTTTAAAATTCTGTATGAAGACTGCTGTGTCAGAAGCCAAGAACTTGGAGTCCTTAGGGTTCTGGGTAAGGACTTCTGAGGTCCTTAGTGCTTATGAGTACAGAATGATGCCCAGGGCCAGGCAGCTCTCAGGCCTGCTGCACCCCAGGTTTCAGCCCCAGCACCACAAAGAAAAAAAGGCTCTAGTCACTGTTTCCATGAATCCAAGGCACAGCACGTCCTGCTGAGCTGACCACACAAAATGAAACTTAGCATGAAGCTGTACTCAACTACTGCACCCCTCATCCAAGGACACCGACTCGGGGATGCTGAGGTCTCACATTTCGCCGAGAAGAGAAACTGCTAAACACTGGGGAGCCATGAAAACTAACTGCACAGGACACTTGCGACCCAGTGAAACCCACGCTGAGTTCAGGGTGAGTCAGCTCGTGGCTTAGTGGTCAGGGCGGAAGCACAGACTGAAAACTGTGGGTAGCTACCCAAGCTTACCTGGGAAGGCCCCTTCTGAGGGTGAGAGGGCACATTCTTTGCTGCTGTCCAGTATCCGAGCCCACACTGCCCACACACCCAGCCCACCAAGGTGTGGGGCTGCACCTGAACCACGGCCGCACCCGCTTTTGTGTATTTTTAAAATTTTGAGACAGAGTCTCGCTAAGTATCTCAGGCTGGGCTCAAATTTGCGATCCTCCTTCCCCATCCTCCCCCAGTGTCACTGTGCTACTGACACTCAGTGAGGAGAAATCACTGCTCTTTCGAAACATGGGAGTTCTCCTGCTTGGCATGTGGCCTGCTTTAACTGCCTGTGTCAGTGTTTTAGGTTGGAAACAATGGTTGCCAAATTTTACTCAAATCTAAATATGCAGTTATTGACCACCTGTGACCTCTGCTGGCCCACACATCAAAGGCACTGTAGACCCGTTGGGCAGGAGGTACAGCTTCAAATCAGGCAGGAGACCCATAGCACCTCCTTTGCATTTGGTTAAATGGGTACAGAGGGCAGGCACGGTGGTCCACGCCTGTCATCCCAGCCCTCTGGAGGCTGAGGCAGGAGGATCACTGTGAGTTCAAGACCAGCCTGGGCTACACAGTGAGACTCTGTCTCAATAAGGTCACAAACTGTGTGCTGGGAAAGTGCGACCCACAAATGACTCTCAGCTTTGTGGTCTCCATCTGTGGCAACTCCCGGCAGGTTCACCCCCACCCCATGCACTCAGGTCCGCTGCAGTCTCCGGACCCTCTCCCAGCCAGGCCCTGTATGCCAGTGCCCCAGTGCCCAGTCCTCAGTGAGGGCCTCAACACTCAACGCACACAGTATCTACAGTAAAGGAGCCCTGCACAATGCGGGCTCCGAGCATTATGCAAGAATCACATGCACTCAATCGGGGATGGCACCAAAACATCCTCACTGCAGAGGGCACAGACACAGACAGAGCCCAGCCAGGCTGTTCCCCAGGGGGCTCCTCCCCAGGGGGCTCCAAGCTTGTGCTGGTCTCGTCAGGGAGAACACAGACACTGGCCAGAATTTTCTAGAATGTTGCTTCCTACAGTTCGGTGGCTTCAAGGCTCCTGGCCCTCAGCACCTTGAGGCAGGAGAGGACATGAGGCTGATGGCCCGTCACTCACAGGGCACAAGGCAGACGCCGGAGGGGCGCAGAGAGTGGCAGTTTGCAGGTCACGGCCCATCTCAGTAGGAGAAGAAACGAGGCTCTGTTCCCCCAAAGGCCAGGTTTACTGTGTTTGACTGAAGTCTGAGAAGGAGCGAGGTGCTCAGGATTAAGCAAGGGGTGCGCGGTACCCAGCTCTCCACGGGTCACATCTCAGACCCCAGGGAACTAGAAGGAGCGCAGGCCCAACGCTGGGGCCCAGCTGGGCAGAGGTCTCAGGGATGCATGGAAGAGCGGGGCTCGGCACCCCAGCGGCCCGCCAACTGGCACCCTGAAAACCTGGGGCCTGGAGCCTGCACCAGGGAGAGAACAGACAGGGCACCCTCCCCAACCCTGGGTCCACAGCAACAGTGGAGCCGCCCTCTCGGAGCCTGAGCGCCACCCAGCTCCTCTGAGGGCCTGGGTCCCAGCATGCACCCCCGGGACCCAGGCCCTGCATGTTCTGGGCCCAGTGACACCACTTTGCGGTCGGGCACTCCGCACCTGTGTGACCAGAGGCCTCTGCCTCACTGCAGGAATAAAAAGCACGCACGGCTCATTAAGAGTATCGGCAAGGCTTCATGTTATATTTATTTATTTTCCAGCTTGTACAAACTGGATGTAGAAGCATAAACATAGTACATTTCTACCATCTTGAACAAAAATATAACCAATATGTACAATTATTGTATTAAAAATACAAACGGAATACAGACTCCACCAATGTCTTTCTAAAAGACATACAGGTACAGGTAGTATCAAAAGTATGAGGAAATCACCAATTAATTGTACATTCTGCACTTGACATCACTGAGTGAACTGAGATTAGCAGTCCTATGTTCTACAATTACTTAATGTTTAGGGAACATTTGTGCAACTTGCGGTAGAGCTAGATTCCTTTCTAATATGCACATGAGGTCCATAGCCTATATAATAAAACTGGCAAATAATGCATATTCCATGTAAAGTTAGAAATGTATAATTGACAATGTAATATATAAGGAAGTAGACAAATGCCATGAGACAGAGAATTATTAAATAAAGCACTGACATTGTCTGATACAGTGAAAAAACACTGCAATTGGACTTTTAAAATTTGATGCTATTTACGTTTATCTACTGATCAGCATGATCAGCTGAATTCAATGGAAACCCAAGACCAGCAGCTCCAAACATCTGAGTACTCCTCAGACTGGCAGCCTTCACTTTCCGGAATCTCTGCAAAAACGACCCCAAATGGAGAGGGGAGTCCTCTGGAGTCCTTGGTCCTGCAGCAACTGTGAGCAGGCAGTTGCCTCCAGGAGGCGCCCCCGCCAGGCGCTCACCCTCCTGGCCAAGGCAGCATCTCTGAGGCCCAGACACTGGGGCCGGGGGGGGGGGGGGGGGGGGGGGGGAGCGGCCCCTGGGGACAGGAAGCTCAGCTGGCATCAGTCCCAGGGCCAGTGCTGCACTCACTGCGAATGCTATCCAGTTACAAGCTATTCTTCAAAAAGACAACAAAACAAAAAATTCGGAAGCTCTAAAGTAACTAAAATCAAAGAAATATAACTTAAGGGGCTGCCACCTTGTCTCAGTGGAAGCAGGACACACTCCAGGTCCAAGGCCTGGCCAGAGGATGGCCTGCCGCCGTGGAGGAGGCAGGGGGCAGAGGCTGGACTGGAAGGGCCAGGCCTTCCATCCTCACCTGGCTGCGCCCCGACAGAACATTTGGGTTTTTAGAAGCTCAGGTGGCAACCTACATGAGGTTCAGAAATAATACTGCAATCATCAAAGGGCTATAACCTTGACTCTTGGAACTCATTTTCAAAAGGAGCACTGTAAACAAGAGGACAAGCACTGCGCTCTAAGGGTCTCCAGTCCCTCACCTGTGGGCTGGAGGTCCCAAGTCTCCGTGGCAGGCTCTGCTTATCATCCTGATGACACCGAGCTCTGGGGCTGAGCTAGGATCCAACAGGGAGGCCTTTCAAAGCCTTCCTTCCAGGCACAGAGAGCGCGCCCAGGGAGCGGCTCCGGTGGGCCCCAGCATGCGGGATCTGGAATGATGCTATGTGGGCAAGGCCCACTACACTGGGAGATAGCTGCTCTGTGCATTTCAAGCAACAAAGTCTGGAAAGTGCTGGTGAGGTGGTCTTCACAGTATTCACATGCAAAGGGGTAGGAGGAGCAGCCCACTGCAAGCAGTGAAGGTCCTCAGTAGCAGGGCAAGCTCTGCTCTGAGGCCCAAGTAGGATGCTGTCCTCTGTGCGCTCCTCTGCGTGGCTCGATGCCCGGGCCTGGGCCTCACAGGGCAGACACCTGCTCATCCTCTGTAGGGCGGCAGGGGAGGAAACAGAGAGGCCAGTGAGTGACCCACAGGCAAAGCTGGCTCCCCACATCCCTGGGGGCTCTTCCAGGCAGCCTTTAGCAATGAAAATGGCGCAAGATCACACACATACGCACGCACGCACACAGGCACGTATGCACGCGTGCATCTTCCAAGAGCTACATCTGATAAAAAATATTTCTGTTTACATGGAAAGTGATTCCTGTTTAAATTCACGGAAGAAAGTTATAAAATGGCTGTGCCGATTTTTAATGACGCAGCCATACACATTAAAAACCACACACAGAGATGTTAGAAAAAGGTTATCGCTGCGCGCCAATCATGAATTCACTCTCACTTGTTATATTTGGCTTTTTCACATAGTGACCATGTAAAGAAGAATGTTAAACTGAAAACTTAAAAAAAAGAAGGCTCTTGTTCTTCAACCTCAATCCAAACTCCGCAGGTAGATTTACACAAAGGCGGTGAAAGAGTTACAGAGAGGCTGGGTGTGCTGGGCCAGCGGCCTGTGATCCCTGGATCAGCAGGCTGGAGAAGGAGGATCCCAAGCTCCAGCTCAGCACAGACAACTTGGAGCCCCTCTTAGACATGCATAAATGAAGGCAGACAGTGTGGGAAGTGCTCAGGAAACAGGGTCAGTGTCCCATCCACGGCACCTTTAAAACAGTGCCAGGAAATGTATGCAGCTGTATTCTCTTTCACTGCCAAAGGTCCCAGTGCCTCTAAGTCCAATATAATGTTTCAGCCATCTATTTTACAGGTCAAAGTCCTTCTTTACATTCTTCAACACAGTATAGATGTTTATCCTTATCCTTAACATAGGGCTGTGGAATGCCTTGATTTATTAAGAATCAGAGAAGAGGGGCTGGGGATTTAGCTCAGCGGCATAAGCAACTGCCTTGTAAGCAGGCAGTCGTGAGTTCGATCCCTGGTACCGATAAAAAGGAAAAAGTCAAAAAAGAATCAGAGAAGAGGTGCAGGTGGGGGAGGGAGCTCAGGGTCTCCCCTGCTCCGGAAGCTTGCCCACCAGGCAGAACCTGCGCAGCAGAGCCCAGCCTGGCCCAGCGCTGCCCCACTGCCACCTCCCACACCTACCATCTTCCTCCTTGCAGAAGCCCTGATCCTGGCAGGGGGCCAGATGGGGATCAGCCTCACTGGGCTTGTGCCACTGTGGTCTGCCGCCCGGTGCCAAGGATGAGACCTCCGCGGGCCGCACCACCATGCATGAGCTCTGCAGCGCCACAGTATACTCTGGGGGCCGGAGTGCTGGATTCGGAGGCACCTCGAAGTCTGTGATCAGGATGCCCAAGTAGCCAGGCGGGGTTGGAGGTGGCTCTGGGTACAGGCCCTCCTTCCACACTGCAAGGAAGCAGAACCCGGTTAGGTGAAGCAGGGGTTCCGCACCAGGCTGCAGCAGTCCAACCCCTGACACTGTTGGGCTGCTCATGCACAGCCAGCTTTGGGCCTCTGAGCATGGCTGCCTTGCAGAAGGGGACCCCTCGAGACCGGAGTGGACACAAACCCTAGTGCACCCAGGCTCATGCCTGCCCGGTGTGGCTCAGCTCCTGCGGGAAAGGCACTGGCGGCCTGGCCGGCCTCCACCTCCACCATGCAGGTCAAAAAGGCTCAGTACTCCCAGGCCCGATGGCTCTCTCCGGAAACAGGACATGAAAACAAATTAGGGAAAGCAGTATCTCCATCCCTAAATGTCACCTGAACAACTAACACTGTAAGGTGTTTATGTTTCTGAAAATCCTTTTAATTAACGTTGATTAAAGTTTTGTGTTGAGCTAACTCAAACGTTAGGAACTAAATCCTTTCTTCACAATAAAAATTGTGCTACTCAGTTTTAACAGCAAGTGCTTGAAAAGGATGAACCTAAGACTGTTCAGCCATCACCTCCTCTGTCACCCGGGAAGGGCATGAAAGGGACGCCTACCGAAGGCTCCGGACAAGGCAGCGCAGCGAGTTCGAGGCCGGCCTGGGTCACACAGAGTCTGAGACCTGAAGCCCAAGCCAGACCAAGCAGTTTCTCCACTAACAGAGGGGCTGCGTCCTGTAATGAGGATTCTTCAATTCTTGCTCCTCGTGGCCCTACACACTCCTCACCGTTCCCCTCCAAAGAGCTCAGGTCACCTTCTCCCCAGAAGGAAGCAGGCATTCTTTCTCTGTCCTTCCCATCCTCCCTTTCACACTAACACCAGCGGGGAGGTGGCCCATGGGAGCAGGTGGGTCCAGCATGCCAAGGGCAGAAACTCGAGACACAATGGGGCCTCCCTGTTGCACACCGGGGTGCCCAGGAAGGGCCACAAAGCCAACCTGAGCAGGCGAAGGCCCTGCTCCAAGCAGAGCTCAAGAGAGTGGTAAAAGAGTAGTTCGAAGTTTCAGTGAAAATCAAGCACTTCCCTGGAGAGCCGCTGTATAGCTTGGTTATTTTCGGACTACGAGACACGACCCAAAACACCAGGACTGGGAAATACGCAGTGAGCACAGGCACACAGCCGACTCAGCACTGCTACCACAGCCATGTCCCCCACCCACTGCCACGCTGGGTGCCCTGGGCAGCCTAGGACAGCAGAGCAGCATCTCGAGGGCACATGCACATGCACACAACCTGGGCTTGGGAGGATGAGGTCTGAGGAGTCCCCCCAGACTTACCGACCAGCCCCTTGGTAGCGCTCGAGGTGGCCACCCTGAGGGCTGGCACAGGGCCAGCCTTGGGCTCCTCTGTGGGCGCGGGCGCCAGGCTGCTGCCATTCTCGGCCTCAAGGGACATGTCCTTGCAGCCAGTGGGAGAGGCCCAGCGGGCCCTGGACTGCGCCTGCTCCAGGCTTTCTTCGATTGGGTTCTGTCTGTTGCCCTTCTGGCCATCCTCGGCAAAAATCAAGTGGTCCAGGTGGCCCCTGTTGGTCCAGAGCCCCATGGGGTCCCCGGGGTAATCGCAGAGCACAGGCCCGAACAGTGGCGTCTCCCAGCTCCTCAGGTGCTGGATGGTCTGGATGTTGTTGTGCGAGTCACTGGAGCATGAGGTCCAGCTCCCATGGCCACTGTTGGCGGCATCCAGGGACGTGCAATAGCCCTGGTCCTGCGAGAGCACCATGGCTGTGGCAAACACGTCCTGGGCCAGGGCCATGGCTGCATAGGACCTGTGGGGAGGGAGGGACAGGAGGAGCTGACTGTGAGCCTCTGCCTCACTCTGTGGTAGGGGACAGGGCAGTCCGCAGGTCCACGAGGGCCAGGAGGTCGGCATGGTTTGTGGAGAAGGAGTCACGAGTACTCAAGGAGGGTCCAGGATGGGGTTGTCCCATGGGGCCCTTGGCGCGGGCACCCACAGGGCCAGGTGGTGAGGGGCAGCAGGGCGAGGAGGCGGGTGCAGGAAGGGCACCCACCCCAGGCTGTACTGGTCTGGCTCTAGCACTGTCTGCTGCTCTGCCCTGACAACGCCCAGGCCGATCTCCACCAGGCTCACGGAGTGCTGCTGCCTCCGCTCCTCCTGCAGGGCCATGGGCACCGAGTCCAAGGAGGAGTTTCTGACCATACCGGACCTAGAGGAGATCTCGCTGGGGCCAGAGTCGGAGAAGTTGTCCACGCTCCAGCTGGGGGCCAGGGTGTAACCTGCAAACACATGGGAGACCTCACATGATGGAAGAAAAGCCAAGCAGAAATGCAGGACGCTCACTGGGAAGGGGACCCCTCATGCCTCAGAGTTCGCACTCCTGTCCTCACAAAGGAGCCCCTTACCTAAGGAGGAGCACCGGACTGCTTAGTGGAGATACAGAAGTCAGGGCTGTGCCAAGCGAGCTCAGCGCCCGCTGTCCCCCACACCCTGTGGCCCAAGGTCACAGCACATGGAGGCTGGGCACAGGGCGTCTGCTTATGCACCAATCAGCGTTAAAAAGTAGAAATCTCATTTGTTTTGTTTTTTTTTTTTGAGACAGGGTCTGAGCATTCCAGGCTGGCCTCAAAGTTGCAGCGACCCTCCTGCCCCAGCCTTTTGATAGCTGGCACAGAGTGTAGGGGTGCACCACCACGCCATTAAAATCTGAATATTCCCTTTCCGCACTCATTTTTTTCTTTTCTGCATTACTAAGCATGTAATCATCTTAGTTCAAAATCATTTGATACAATCACAGACCATGTAAGTTTTTAAATGCCACTTACTACAAAATAAATAATATAGAATATGTAAATAAATCTGGAGGACCTAAATTTGCCAATTTAAGTGGCCCCCATTTCACTAACCTAGTAATTCCTGATTTATTTGTTCAAGGTCACATAGGGTCTTGCTAAGATTTAATGTGTTTCCCTATGAAATGTCTATAATCACACTGCAAGTCTTGCCAGATGAAATTTAAATCTGTTCCTCAGAAGTCCATTCCAAAATCAATCTGTCTCTGGGAAAGAGGGTCGCGCACAGCGCCTGCCCCTCAGGCATTACGACCCGGGGACTCCAGTTCTGAAAGCTCCACCTGCCCTGGTCCCATGCCATCCTACAGCTGGTGGTGCTCACTTCCCGGGAAAGAAGAGGAACCAGCGAAGTCCAGCTGCCCAGAGTCAAAGTGCCTCAGCTGAGCGCCACTGCCACTGACCGCAGGACACAGGGACAGCGCAGACGTAGCCCCCACCCAGATCTGGCACTCAGAGGCCACAGTGAAGCCTGGCCATACGTGAGCCGCTCCGGGACTCTACAAGTGACAGTGGGGCACAGCCTTGGCTGCCACCACCCAAGGGGGAGGATCAAGGGCCAGGCCCATGGGTAGGGGAAGGGGACCAAGGCCCAGCCACCCCGACAGACACACACCAGGTGCTCGGCCCTACAGTCTTCCTCCCTGTACTAACGTCAGTCACACAAGAACGAATGTTTACATAGAAAGAATTCTTCCCACATTTAGGATTAATAAAAAGGCAAATGGATGTTTAAAAGGACTGTGTAACTGATAAATCTGACATACTGTAATATTAAAAAGAAATACAAAAATTCTTCCCAATGCTTAAAATGAGGGAAGGCCCCTGACTGTGAAGGCACCCTGAGCAGATTAAAACCTGTGAAATCAGCAAGAAATTCTATGACTGCAGAGGGCAGCGCCTAAGCCCACCACTGCAGCCCTACCTTTCCTGGGCGAGCTCTGCGGGGATGTGGGTGAAGACAAGAGCTTGGAGGACGCGCTGGACAGCATGTCCTCCGCCTGCTTTGGGTGGCGCTCCAGACTGCCTTCTTCAGACAGCGAGAGGATCTTCTTTAAAGCTTGCGGAGAGTTTATGCCTACAAAAATAAGCAAATAACTAAAAACTTCTAACAACTAAAGGGCTGTATTGAAACTCAGTGCTACTGTAAGGTTCCACATATTTACAACTGGATATTCCTTGTACCGTCACGATATGAGAACAGGTGGAGGAGGCAGAGATGCCTGTGCTCAGACTTCCGATTCCCAGGGCCAAGAGGTGGCTGTGGATGTTTTAAATTCCAAACCTCTGACACCATAACCATGTGCTTGGCAACAACCAAGATTAAGTGGACAATATGTGAACATCTGAATTCGGGGCTCAGTGGGGTCACTTCAACTCCAGCTTGGGTTGGAAGCAGGTATTTGCTACTACGGGGCAGTTCAGCTCTGGGGAAAGGGGAACACCAGGAGAAAAGCAGAGGGCCCAGAGACACGGAGCGGATGGGGGAGGCAGGATACAGCACCAAGGGTCCTCATCAGTAATGTACTCAGTCCACAGAGGAAGAGGAAACTAGCTGCCTCTTCCACAGAAGCCAGGATGGCGGCTCCCAGGGTGCATGGGCCTGGCCGGGAAGGGTGCGTGGGTAGACACAAAGTGACCCCTTGATTATTCTCCAGGAGTATGGGAGACACTTTACAAAGCTTCTCATAGTACTATGGGGCGTCCTCAAACTCCCTCAGAGCTGACAAGCAGAGAGATTTCCAGAAAGGAAGAACAGCCCCAAACCATGTCCCCTTCCTGCCAGCATGCCATCTCATGTAAGCAGCCTTCTGCACTCTAAATGGCGTCTCTGGGGAAGAAGCGATACTATCAGGCACAGCGGTGTGAAAACTCCAAGTGCACCAAAGCTACAGGCCAGCAGGCAGTCGCCTCAGGCTGGCAGGGCCTCAGCAGAGTGTCAGCACTTCACACATGGCGCCCTCCGCACAGAGGGGCAGGGTACCTCGACCACACTCCTCCGAGCCGCCTCAGGGAGGATGGAGGTCAGCCAACAGCGCCCAGCACAGAGACCGAGGGACCTCACCCAAGGCCCAGCGCCTCTAAGCCAGCCTGCTGTACCCTGGTAAAAACATTCCTTATTTCTGTTCAGGTTACTTCCTTCCACAGACAGGCAGAAGAAATAGTGGGCACACTTTATGAAAGCTTGTTCTGTAGTGCATCTATTTGAGAAGGGTAAACCAATGAATGCGCTGTTTTTAAGGAAAAAGATGAGGTATAATTTCATTAACCTGCGAGCTCTGTCCGTATTTCCAGTGCCTGAAACTTGCAGAAGTGGGAGCTCGGTGAGGCAGAGCTGTGCCCATGGCCGGCATGCCTGCAGGCAGGCTCCGAGGCCTGCTACTGACATGGCTGAAGCCAGCTCGGTTCGAGGCACTGACCTGAGAAACACTCAGGCACAGAGCCGGCTCACCACTGCTAGCACAGCCGTGTCCCCCACCCACTTCCACGCTGGGTGCCCTGGGCAGCCTAGGACAGCAGAGCAGCATCTCGAGGCCACATGCACATGCACACAACCTGGGCTTGGGAGGATGAGGTCTGAGGAGTCCCCCCAGACTTACCGACCAGCCCCTTGGTAGCGCTCGAGGTGGCCACCCTGAGGGCTGGCACAGGGCCAGCCTTGGGCTCCTCTGTGGGCGCGGGCGCCAGGCTGCTGCCATTCTCGGCCTCAAGGGACATGTCCTTGGAGCCAGTGGGAGAGGCCCAGCGGGCCCTGGACTGCGCCTGCTCCAGGCTTTCTTCGATTGGGTTCTGTCTGTCGCCCTTCTGGCCATCCTCGGCAAAAATCAAGTGGTCCAGGTGGCCCCTGTTGGCCCAGGGCCCCATGGGGTCCCCGGGGTAATCGCAGAGCACAGGCCCGAACAGTGGGGTCTCCCAGCTCCTCAGGTGCTGGATGGTCTGGATGTTGTTGTGCGAGTCACTGGAGCATGAGGTCCAGCTCCCATGGCCACTGTTGGCGGCATCCAGGGACGTGCAATAGCCCTGGTCCTGCGAGAGCACCATGGCTGTGGCAAACACGTCCTGGGCCAGGGCCATGGCTGCATAGGACCTGTGGGGAGGGAGGGACAGGAGGAGCTGACTGTGAGCCTCTGCCTCACTCTGTGGTAGGGGACAGGGCAGTCCGCAGGTCCACGAGGGCCAGGAGGTCGGCATGGTTTGTGGAGAAGGAGCCACGAGTACTCAAGGAGGGTCCAGGATGGGGTTGTCCCATGGGGCCCTTGGCGCGGGCACCCAGAGGGCCAGGTGGTGAGGGGCAGCAGGGCGAGGAGGCGGGTGCAGGAAGGGCACCCACCCCAGGCTGTACTGGTCTGGCTCTAGCACTGTCTGCTGCTCTGCCCTGACAACGCCCAGGCCGATCTCCACCAGGCTCACGGAGTGCTGCTGCCTCCGCTCCTCCTGCAGGGCCATGGGCACCGAGTCCAAGGAGGAGTTTCTGACCATACCGGACCTAGAGGAGATCTCGCTGGGGCCAGAGTCGGAGAAGTTGTCCACGCTCCAGCTGGGGGCCAGGGTGTAACCTGCAAACACATGGGAGACCTCACATGATGGAAGAAAAGCCAAGCAGAAATGCAGGACGCTCACTGGGAAGGGGACCCCTCATGCCTCAGAGTTCGCACTCCTGTCCTCACAAAGGAGCCCCTTACCTAAGGAGGAGCACCGGACTGCTTAGTGGAGATACAGAAGTCAGGGCTGTGCCAAGCGAGCTCAGCGCCCGCTGTCCCCCACACCCTGTGGCCCAAGGTCACAGCACATGGAGGCTGGGCACAGGGCGTCTGCTTATGCACCAATCAGCGTTAAAAAGTAGAAATCTCATTTGTTTTGTTTTTTTTTTTTGAGACAGGGTCTGAGCATTCCAGGCTGGCCTCAAAGTTGCAGCGACCCTCCTGCCCCAGCCTTTTGATAGCTGGCACAGAGTGTAGGGGTGCACCACCACGCCATTAAAATCTGAATATTCCCTTTCCGCACTCATTTTTTTCTTTTCTGCATTACTAAGCATGTAATCATCTTAGTTCAAAATCATTTGATACAATCACAGACCATGTAAGTTTTTAAATGCCACTTACTACAAAATAAATAATATAGAATATGTAAATAAATCTGGAGGACCTAAATTTGCCAATTTAAGTGGCCCCCATTTCACTAAACTAGTAATTCCTGATTTATTTGTTCAAGGTCACATAGGGTCTTGCTAAGATTTAATGTGTTTCCCTATGAAATGTCTATAATCACACTGCAAGTCTTGCCAGATGAAATTTAAATCTGTTCCTCAGAAGTCCATTCCAAAATCAATCTGTCTCTGGGAAAGAGGGTCGCGCACAGCGCCTGCCCCTCAGGCATTACGACCCGGGGACTCCAGTTCTGAGAGCTCCACCTGCCCTGGTCCCATGCCATCCTACAGCTGGTGGTGCTCACTTCCCGGGAAAGAAGAGGAACCAGCGAAGTCCAGCTGCCCAGAGTCAAAGTGCCTCAGCTGAGCGCCACTGCCACTGACCGCAGGACACAGGGACAGCGCAGACGTAGCCCCCACCCAGATCTGGCACTCAGAGGCCACAGTGAAGCCTGGCCATACGTGAGCCGCTCCGGGACTCTACAAGTGACAGTGGGGCACAGCCTTGGCTGCCACCACCCAAGGGGGAGGATCAAGGGCCAGGCCCATGGGTAGGGGAAGGGGACCAAGGCCCAGCCACCCCGACAGACACACACCAGGTGCTCGGCCCTACAGTCTTCCTCCCTGTACTAACGTCAGTCACACAAGAACGAATGTTTACATAGAAAGAATTCTTCCCACATTTAGGATTAATAAAAAGGCAAATGGATGTTTAAAAGGACTGTGTAACTGATAAATCTGACATACTGTAATATTAAAAAGAAATACAAAAATTCTTCCCAATGCTTAAAATGAGGGAAGGCCCCTGACTGTGAAGGCACCCTGAGCAGATTAAAACCTGTGAAATCAGCAAGAAATTCTATGACTGCAGAGGGCAGCGCCTAAGCCCACCACTGCAGCCCTACCTTTCCTGGGCGAGCTCTGCGGGGATGTGGGTGAAGACAAGAGCTTGGAGGACGCGCTGGACAGCATGTCCTCCGCCTGCTTTGGGTGGCGCTCCAGACTGCCTTCTTCAGACAGCGAGAGGATCTTCTTTAAAGCTTGCGGAGAGTTTATGCCTACAAAAATAAGCAAATAACTAAAAACTTCTAACAACTAAAGGGCTGTATTGAAACTCAGTGCTACTGTAAGGTTCCACATATTTACAACTGGATATTCCTTGTACCGTCACGATATGAGAACAGGTGGAGGAGGCAGAGATGCCTGTGCTCAGACTTCCGATTCCCAGGGCCAAGAGGTGGCTGTGGATGTTTTAAATTCCAAACCTCTGACACCATAACCATGTGCTTGGCAACAACCAAGATTAAGTGGACAATATGTGAACATCTGAATTCGGGGCTCAGTGGGGTCACTTCAACTCCAGCTTGGGTTGGAAGCAGGTATTTGCTACTACGGGGCAGTTCAGCTCTGGGGAAAGGGGAACACCAGGAGAAAAGCAGAGGGCCCAGAGACACGGAGCGGATGGGGGAGGCAGGATACAGCACCAAGGGTCCTCATCAGTAATGTACTCAGTCCACAGAGGAAGAGGAAACTAGCTGCCTCTTCCACAGAAGCCAGGATGGCGGCTCCCAGGGTGCATGGGCCTGGCCGGGAAGGGTGCGTGGGTAGACACAAAGTGACCCCTTGATTATTCTCCAGGAGTATGGGAGACACTTTACAAAGCTTCTCATAGTACTATGGGGCGTCCTCAAACTCCCTCAGAGCTGACAAGCAGAGAGATTTCCAGAAAGGAAGAACAGCCCCAAACCATGTCCCCTTCCTGCCAGCATGCCATCTCATGTAAGCAGCCTTCTGCACTCTAAATGGCGTCTCTGGGGAAGAAGCGATACTATCAGGCACAGCGGTGTGAAAACTCCAAGTGCACCAAAGCTACAGGCCAGCAGGCAGTCGCCTCAGGCTGGCAGGGCCTCAGCAGAGTGTCAGCACTTCACACATGGCGCCCTCCGCACAGAGGGGCAGGGTACCTCGACCACACTCCTCCGAGCCGCCTCAGGGAGGATGGAGGTCAGCCAACAGCGCCCAGCACAGAGACCGAGGGACCTCACCCAAGGCCCAGCGCCTCTAAGCCAGCCTGCTGTACCCTGGTAAAAACATTCCTTATTTCTGTTCAGGTTACTTCCTTCCACAGACAGGCAGAAGAAATAGTGGGCACACTTTATGAAAGCTTGTTCTGTAGTGCATCTATTTGAGAAGGGTAAACCAATGAATGCGCTGTTTTTAAGGAAAAAGATGAGGTATAATTTCATTAACCTGCGAGCTCTGTCCGTATTTCCAGTGCCTGAAACTTGCAGAAGTGGGAGCTCGGTGAGGCAGAGCTGTGCCCATGGCCGGCATGCCTGCAGGCAGGCTCCGAGGCCTGCTACTGACATGGCTGAAGCCAGCTCGGTTCGAGGCACTGACCTGAGAAACACTCAGGCACAGAGCCGGCTCACCACTGCTAGCACAGCCGTGTCCCCCACCCACTTCCACGCTGGGTGCCCTGGGCAGCCTAGGACAGCAGAGCAGCATCTCGAGGCCACATGCACATGCACACAACCTGGGCTTGGGAGGATGAGGTCTGAGGAGTCCCCCCAGACTTACCGACCAGCCCCTTGGTAGCGCTCGAGGTGGCCACCCTGAGGGCTGGCACAGGGCCAGCCTTGGGCTCCTCTGTGGGCGCGGGCGCCAGGCTGCTGCCATTCTCGGCCTCAAGGGACATGTCCTTGGAGCCAGTGGGAGAGGCCCAGCGGGCCCTGGACTGCGCCTGCTCCAGGCTTTCTTCGATTGGGTTCTGTCTGTCGCCCTTCTGGCCATCCTCGGCAAAAATCAAGTGGTCCAGGTGGCCCCTGTTGGCCCAGAGCCCCATGGGGTCCCCGGGGTAATCGCAGAGCACAGGCCCGAACAGTGGGGTCTCCCAGCTCCTCAGGTGCTGGATGGTCTGGATGTTGTTGTGCGAGTCACTGGAGCATGAGGTCCAGCTCCCATGGCCACTGTTGGCGGCATCCAGGGACGTGCAATAGCCCTGGTCCTGCGAGAGCACCATGGCTGTGGCAAACACGTCCTGGGCCAGGGCCATGGCTGCATAGGACCTGTGGGGAGGGAGGGACAGGAGGAGCTGACTGTGAGCCTCTGCCTCACTCTGTGGTAGGGGACAGGGCAGTCCGCAGGTCCACGAGGGCCAGGAGGTCGGCATGGTTTGTGGAGAAGGAGCCACGAGTACTCAAGGAGGGTCCAGGATGGGGTTGTCCCATGGGGCCCTTGGCGAGGGCACCCAGAGGGCCAGGTGGTGAGGGGCAGCAGGGCGAGGAGGCGGGTGCAGGAAGGGCACCCACCCCAGGCTGTACTGGTCTGGCTCTAGCACTGTCTGCTGCTCTGCCCTGACAACGCCCAGGCCGATCTCCACCAGGCTCACGGAGTGCTGCTGCCTCCGCTCCTCCTGCAGGGCCATGGGCACCGAGTCCAAGGAGGAGTTTCTGACCATACCGGACCTAGAGGAGATCTCGCTGGGGCCAGAGTCGGAGAAGTTGTCCACGCTCCAGCTGGGGGCCAGGGTGTAACCTGCAAACACATGGGAGACCTCACATGATGGAAGAAAAGCCAAGCAGAAATGCAGGACGCTCACTGGGAAGGGGACCCCTCATGCCTCAGAGTTCGCACTCCTGTCCTCACAAAGGAGCCCCTTACCTAAGGAGGAGCACCGGACTGCTTAGTGGAGATACAGAAGTCAGGGCTGTGCCAAGCGAGCTCAGCGCCCGCTGTCCCCCACACCCTGTGGCCCAAGGTCACAGCACATGGAGGCTGGGCACAGGGCGTCTGCTTATGCACCAATCAGCGTTAAAAAGTAGAAATCTCATTTGTTTTGTTTTTTTTTTTTGAGACAGGGTCTGAGCATTCCAGGCTGGCCTCAAAGTTGCAGCGACCCTCCTGCCCCAGCCTTTTGATAGCTGGCACAGAGTGTAGGGGTGCACCACCACGCCATTAAAATCTGAATATTCCCTTTCCGCACTCATTTTTTTCTTTTCTGCATTACTAAGCATGTAATCATCTTAGTTCAAAATCATTTGATACAATCACAGACCATGTAAGTTTTTAAATGCCACTTACTACAAAATAAATAATATAGAATATGTAAATAAATCTGGAGGACCTAAATTTGCCAATTTAAGTGGCCCCCATTTCACTAAACTAGTAATTCCTGATTTATTTGTTCAAGGTCACATAGGGTCTTGCTAAGATTTAATGTGTTTCCCTATGAAATGTCTATAATCACACTGCAAGTCTTGCCAGATGAAATTTAAATCTGTTCCTCAGAAGTCCATTCCAAAATCAATCTGTCTCTGGGAAAGAGGGTCGCGCACAGCGCCTGCCCCTCAGGCATTACGACCCGGGGACTCCAGTTCTGAGAGCTCCACCTGCCCTGGTCCCATGCCATCCTACAGCTGGTGGTGCTCACTTCCCGGGAAAGAAGAGGAACCAGCGAAGTCCAGCTGCCCAGAGTCAAAGTGCCTCAGCTGAGCGCCACTGCCACTGACCGCAGGACACAGGGACAGCGCAGACGTAGCCCCCACCCAGATCTGGCACTCAGAGGCCACAGTGAAGCCTGGCCATACGTGAGCCGCTCCGGGACTCTACAAGTGACAGTGGGGCACAGCCTTGGCTGCCACCACCCAAGGGGGAGGATCAAGGGCCAGGCCCATGGGTAGGGGAAGGGGACCAAGGCCCAGCCACCCCGACAGACACACACCAGGTGCTCGGCCCTACAGTCTTCCTCCCTGTACTAACGTCAGTCACACAAGAACGAATGTTTACATAGAAAGAATTCTTCCCACATTTAGGATTAATAAAAAGGCAAATGGATGTTTAAAAGGACTGTGTAACTGATAAATCTGACATACTGTAATATTAAAAAGAAATACAAAAATTCTTCCCAATGCTTAAAATGAGGGAAGGCCCCTGACTGTGAAGGCACCCTGAGCAGATTAAAACCTGTGAAATCAGCAAGAAATTCTATGACTGCAGAGGGCAGCGCCTAAGCCCACCACTGCAGCCCTACCTTTCCTGGGCGAGCTCTGCGGGGATGTGGGTGAAGACAAGAGCTTGGAGGACGCGCTGGACAGCATGTCCTCCGCCTGCTTTGGGTGGCGCTCCAGACTGCCTTCTTCAGACAGCGAGAGGATCTTCTTTAAAGCTTGCGGAGAGTTTATGCCTACAAAAATAAGCAAATAACTAAAAACTTCTAACAACTAAAGGGCTGTATTGAAACTCAGTGCTACTGTAAGGTTCCACATATTTACAACTGGATATTCCTTGTACCGTCACGATATGAGAACAGGTGGAGGAGGCAGAGATGCCTGTGCTCAGACTTCCGATTCCCAGGGCCAAGAGGTGGCTGTGGATGTTTTAAATTCCAAACCTCTGACACCATAACCATGTGCTTGGCAACAACCAAGATTAAGTGGACAATATGTGAACATCTGAATTCGGGGCTCAGTGGGGTCACTTCAACTCCAGCTTGGGTTGGAAGCAGGTATTTGCTACTACGGGGCAGTTCAGCTCTGGGGAAAGGGGAACACCAGGAGAAAAGCAGAGGGCCCAGAGACACGGAGCGGATGGGGGAGGCAGGATACAGCACCAAGGGTCCTCATCAGTAATGTACTCAGTCCACAGAGGAAGAGGAAACTAGCTGCCTCTTCCACAGAAGCCAGGATGGCGGCTCCCAGGGTGCATGGGCCTGGCCGGGAAGGGTGCGTGGGTAGACACAAAGTGACCCCTTGATTATTCTCCAGGAGTATGGGAGACACTTTACAAAGCTTCTCATAGTACTATGGGGCGTCCTCAAACTCCCTCAGAGCTGACAAGCAGAGAGATTTCCAGAAAGGAAGAACAGCCCCAAACCATGTCCCCTTCCTGCCAGCATGCCATCTCATGTAAGCAGCCTTCTGCACTCTAAATGGCGTCTCTGGGGAAGAAGCGATACTATCAGGCACAGCGGTGTGAAAACTCCAAGTGCACCAAAGCTACAGGCCAGCAGGCAGTCGCCTCAGGCTGGCAGGGCCTCAGCAGAGTGTCAGCACTTCACACATGGCGCCCTCCGCACAGAGGGGCAGGGTACCTCGACCACACTCCTCCGAGCCGCCTCAGGGAGGATGGAGGTCAGCCAACAGCGCCCAGCACAGAGACCGAGGGACCTCACCCAAGGCCCAGCGCCTCTAAGCCAGCCTGCTGTACCCTGGTAAAAACATTCCTTATTTCTGTTCAGGTTACTTCCTTCCACAGACAGGCAGAAGAAATAGTGGGCACACTTTATGAAAGCTTGTTCTGTAGTGCATCTATTTGAGAAGGGTAAACCAATGAATGCGCTGTTTTTAAGGAAAAAGATGAGGTATAATTTCATTAACCTGCGAGCTCTGTCCGTATTTCCAGTGCCTGAAACTTGCAGAAGTGGGAGCTCGGTGAGGCAGAGCTGTGCCCATGGCCGGCATGCCTGCAGGCAGGCTCCGAGGCCTGCTACTGACATGGCTGAAGCCAGCTCGGTTCGAGGCACTGACCTGAGAAACACTCAGGCACAGAGCCGGCTCACCACTGCTAGCACAGCCGTGTCCCCCACCCACTTCCACGCTGGGTGCCCTGGGCAGCCTAGGACAGCAGAGCAGCATCTCGAGGCCACATGCACATGCACACAACCTGGGCTTGGGAGGATGAGGTCTGAGGAGTCCCCCCAGACTTACCGACCAGCCCCTTGGTAGCGCTCGAGGTGGCCACCCTGAGGGCTGGCACAGGGCCAGCCTTGGGCTCCTCTGTGGGCGCGGGCGCCAGGCTGCTGCCATTCTCGGCCTCAAGGGACATGTCCTTGGAGCCAGTGGGAGAGGCCCAGCGGGCCCTGGACTGCGCCTGCTCCAGGCTTTCTTCGATTGGGTTCTGTCTGTCGCCCTTCTGGCCATCCTCGGCAAAAATCAAGTGGTCCAGGTGGCCCCTGTTGGCCCAGAGCCCCATGGGGTCCCCGGGGTAATCGCAGAGCACAGGCCCGAACAGTGGGGTCTCCCAGCTCCTCAGGTGCTGGATGGTCTGGATGTTGTTGTGCGAGTCACTGGAGCATGAGGTCCAGCTCCCATGGCCACTGTTGGCGGCATCCAGGGACGTGCAATAGCCCTGGTCCTGCGAGAGCACCATGGCTGTGGCAAACACGTCCTGGGCCAGGGCCATGGCTGCATAGGACCTGTGGGGAGGGAGGGACAGGAGGAGCTGACTGTGAGCCTCTGCCTCACTCTGTGGTAGGGGACAGGGCAGTCCGCAGGTCCACGAGGGCCAGGAGGTCGGCATGGTTTGTGGAGAAGGAGCCACGAGTACTCAAGGAGGGTCCAGGATGGGGTTGTCCCATGGGGCCCTTGGCGCGGGCACCCAGAGGGCCAGGTGGTGAGGGGCAGCAGGGCGAGGAGGCGGGTGCAGGAAGGGCACCCACCCCAGGCTGTACTGGTCTGGCTCTAGCACTGTCTGCTGCTCTGCCCTGACAACGCCCAGGCCGATCTCCACCAGGCTCACGGAGTGCTGCTGCCTCCGCTCCTCCTGCAGGGCCATGGGCACCGAGTCCAAGGAGGAGTTTCTGACCATACCGGACCTAGAGGAGATCTCGCTGGGGCCAGAGTCGGAGAAGTTGTCCACGCTCCAGCTGGGGGCCAGGGTGTAACCTGCAAACACATGGGAGACCTCACATGATGGAAGAAAAGCCAAGCAGAAATGCAGGACGCTCACTGGGAAGGGGACCCCTCATGCCTCAGAGTTCGCACTCCTGTCCTCACAAAGGAGCCCCTTACCTAAGGAGGAGCACCGGACTGCTTAGTGGAGATACAGAAGTCAGGGCTGTGCCAAGCGAGCTCAGCGCCCGCTGTCCCCCACACCCTGTGGCCCAAGGTCACAGCACATGGAGGCTGGGCACAGGGCGTCTGCTTATGCACCAATCAGCGTTAAAAAGTAGAAATCTCATTTGTTTTGTTTTTTTTTTTTGAGACAGGGTCTGAGCATTCCAGGCTGGCCTCAAAGTTGCAGCGACCCTCCTGCCCCAGCCTTTTGATAGCTGGCACAGAGTGTAGGGGTGCACCACCACGCCATTAAAATCTGAATATTCCCTTTCCGCACTCATTTTTTTCTTTTCTGCATTACTAAGCATGTAATCATCTTAGTTCAAAATCATTTGATACAATCACAGACCATGTAAGTTTTTAAATGCCACTTACTACAAAATAAATAATATAGAATATGTAAATAAATCTGGAGGACCTAAATTTGCCAATTTAAGTGGCCCCCATTTCACTAAACTAGTAATTCCTGATTTATTTGTTCAAGGTCACATAGGGTCTTGCTAAGATTTAATGTGTTTCCCTATGAAATGTCTATAATCACACTGCAAGTCTTGCCAGATGAAATTTAAATCTGTTCCTCAGAAGTCCATTCCAAAATCAATCTGTCTCTGGGAAAGAGGGTCGCGCACAGCGCCTGCCCCTCAGGCATTACGACCCGGGGACTCCAGTTCTGAGAGCTCCACCTGCCCTGGTCCCATGCCATCCTACAGCTGGTGGTGCTCACTTCCCGGGAAAGAAGAGGAACCAGCGAAGTCCAGCTGCCCAGAGTCAAAGTGCCTCAGCTGAGCGCCACTGCCACTGACCGCAGGACACAGGGACAGCGCAGACGTAGCCCCCACCCAGATCTGGCACTCAGAGGCCACAGTGAAGCCTGGCCATACGTGAGCCGCTCCGGGACTCTACAAGTGACAGTGGGGCACAGCCTTGGCTGCCACCACCCAAGGGGGAGGATCAAGGGCCAGGCCCATGGGTAGGGGAAGGGGACCAAGGCCCAGCCACCCCGACAGACACACACCAGGTGCTCGGCCCTACAGTCTTCCTCCCTGTACTAACGTCAGTCACACAAGAACGAATGTTTACATAGAAAGAATTCTTCCCACATTTAGGATTAATAAAAAGGCAAATGGATGTTTAAAAGGACTGTGTAACTGATAAATCTGACATACTGTAATATTAAAAAGAAATACAAAAATTCTTCCCAATGCTTAAAATGAGGGAAGGCCCCTGACTGTGAAGGCACCCTGAGCAGATTAAAACCTGTGAAATCAGCAAGAAATTCTATGACTGCAGAGGGCAGCGCCTAAGCCCACCACTGCAGCCCTACCTTTCCTGGGCGAGCTCTGCGGGGATGTGGGTGAAGACAAGAGCTTGGAGGATGCGCTGGACAGCATGTCCTCCGCCTGCTTTGGGTGGCGCTCCAGACTGCCTTCTTCAGACAGCGAGAGGATCTTCTTTAAAGCTTGCGGAGAGTTTATGCCTACAAAAATAAGCAAATAACTAAAAACTTCTAACAACTAAAGGGCTGTATTGAAACTCAGTGCTACTGTAAGGTTCCACATATTTACAACTGGATATTCCTTGTACCGTCACGATATGAGAACAGGTGGAGGAGGCAGAGATGCCTGTGCTCAGACTTCCGATTCCCAGGGCCAAGAGGTGGCTGTGGATGTTTTAAATTCCAAACCTCTGACACCATAACCATGTGCTTGGCAACAACCAAGATTAAGTGGACAATATGTGAACATCTGAATTCGGGGCTCAGTGGGGTCACTTCAACTCCAGCTTGGGTTGGAAGCAGGTATTTGCTACTACGGGGCAGTTCAGCTCTGGGGAAAGGGGAACACCAGGAGAAAAGCAGAGGGCCCAGAGACACGGAGCGGATGGGGGAGGCAGGATACAGCACCAAGGGTCCTCATCAGTAATGTACTCAGTCCACAGAGGAAGAGGAAACTAGCTGCCTCTTCCACAGAAGCCAGGATGGCGGCTCCCAGGGTGCATGGGCCTGGCCGGGAAGGGTGCGTGGGTAGACACAAAGTGACCCCTTGATTATTCTCCAGGAGTATGGGAGACACTTTACAAAGCTTCTCATAGTACTATGGGGCGTCCTCAAACTCCCTCAGAGCTGACAAGCAGAGAGATTTCCAGAAAGGAAGAACAGCCCCAAACCATGTCCCCTTCCTGCCAGCATGCCATCTCATGTAAGCAGCCCTCTGCACTCTAAATGGCGTCTCTGGGGAAGAAGCGATACTATCAGGCACAGCGGTGTGAAAACTCCAAGTGCACCAAAGCTACAGGCCAGCAGGCAGTCGCCTCAGGCTGGCAGGGCCTCAGCAGAGTGTCAGCACTTCACACATGGCGCCCTCCGCACAGAGGGGCAGGGTACCTCGACCACACTCCTCCGAGCCGCCTCAGGGAGGATGGAGGTCAGCCAACAGCGCCCAGCACAGAGACCGAGGGACCTCACCCAAGGCCCAGCGCCTCTAAGCCAGCCTGCTGTACCCTGGTAAAAACATTCCTTATTTCTGTTCAGGTTACTTCCTTCCACAGACAGGCAGAAGAAATAGTGGGCACACTTTATGAAAGCTTGTTCTGTAGTGCATCTATTTGAGAAGGGTAAACCAATGAATGCGCTGTTTTTAAGGAAAAAGATGAGGTATAATTTCATTAACCTGCGAGCTCTGTCCGTATTTCCAGTGCCTGAAACTTGCAGAAGTGGGAGCTCGGTGAGGCAGAGCTGTGCCCATGGCCGGCATGCCTGCAGGCAGGCTCCGAGGCCTGCTACTGACATGGCTGAAGCCAGCTCGGTTCGAGGCACTGACCTGAGAAACACTCAGGCACAGAGCCGGCTCACCACTGCTAGCACAGCCGTGTCCCCCACCCACTTCCACGCTGGGTGCCCTGGGCAGCCTAGGACAGCAGAGCAGCATCTCGAGGCCACATGCACATGCACACAACCTGGGCTTGGGAGGATGAGGTCTGAGGAGTCCCCCCAGACTTACCGACCAGCCCCTTGGTAGCGCTCGAGGTGGCCACCCTGAGGGCTGGCACAGGGCCAGCCTTGGGCTCCTCTGTGGGCGCGGGCGCCAGGCTGCTGCCATTCTCGGCCTCAAGGGACATGTCCTTGGAGCCAGTGGGAGAGGCCCAGCGGGCCCTGGACTGCGCCTGCTCCAGGCTTTCTTCGATTGGGTTCTGTCTGTCGCCCTTCTGGCCATCCTCGGCAAAAATCAAGTGGTCCAGGTGGCCCCTGTTGGCCCAGAGCCCCATGGGGTCCCCGGGGTAATCGCAGAGCACAGGCCCGAACAGTGGGGTCTCCCAGCTCCTCAGGTGCTGGATGGTCTGGATGTTGTTGTGCGAGTCACTGGAGCATGAGGTCCAGCTCCCATGGCCACTGTTGGCGGCATCCAGGGACGTGCAATAGCCCTGGTCCTGCGAGAGCACCATGGCTGTGGCAAACACGTCCTGGGCCAGGGCCATGGCTGCATAGGACCTGTGGGGAGGGAGGGACAGGAGGAGCTGACTGTGAGCCTCTGCCTCACTCTGTGGTAGGGGACAGGGCAGTCCGCAGGTCCACGAGGGCCAGGAGGTCGGCATGGTTTGTGGAGAAGGAGCCACGAGTACTCAAGGAGGGTCCAGGATGGGGTTGTCCCATGGGGCCCTTGGCGCGGGCACCCAGAGGGCCAGGTGGTGAGGGGCAGCAGGGCGAGGAGGCGGGTGCAGGAAGGGCACCCACCCCAGGCTGTACTGGTCTGGCTCTAGCACTGTCTGCTGCTCTGCCCTGACAACGCCCAGGCCGATCTCCACCAGGCTCACGGAGTGCTGCTGCCTCCGCTCCTCCTGCAGGGCCATGGGCACCGAGTCCAAGGAGGAGTTTCTGACCATACCGGACCTAGAGGAGATCTCGCTGGGGCCAGAGTCGGAGAAGTTGTCCACGCTCCAGCTGGGGGCCAGGGTGTAACCTGCAAACACATGGGAGACCTCACATGATGGAAGAAAAGCCAAGCAGAAATGCAGGACGCTCACTGGGAAGGGGACCCCTCATGCCTCAGAGTTCGCACTCCTGTCCTCACAAAGGAGCCCCTTACCTAAGGAGGAGCACCGGACTGCTTAGTGGAGATACAGAAGTCAGGGCTGTGCCAAGCGAGCTCAGCGCCCGCTGTCCCCCACACCCTGTGGCCCAAGGTCACAGCACATGGAGGCTGGGCACAGGGCGTCTGCTTATGCACCAATCAGCGTTAAAAAGTAGAAATCTCATTTGTTTTGTTTTTTTTTTTTGAGACAGGGTCTGAGCATTCCAGGCTGGCCTCAAAGTTGCAGCGACCCTCCTGCCCCAGCCTTTTGATAGCTGGCACAGAGTGTAGGGGTGCACCACCACGCCATTAAAATCTGAATATTCCCTTTCCGCACTCATTTTTTTCTTTTCTGCATTACTAAGCATGTAATCATCTTAGTTCAAAATCATTTGATACAATCACAGACCATGTAAGTTTTTAAATGCCACTTACTACAAAATAAATAATATAGAATATGTAAATAAATCTGGAGGACCTAAATTTGCCAATTTAAGTGGCCCCCATTTCACTAAACTAGTAATTCCTGATTTATTTGTTCAAGGTCACATAGGGTCTTGCTAAGATTTAATGTGTTTCCCTATGAAATGTCTATAATCACACTGCAAGTCTTGCCAGATGAAATTTAAATCTGTTCCTCAGAAGTCCATTCCAAAATCAATCTGTCTCTGGGAAAGAGGGTCGCGCACAGCGCCTGCCCCTCAGGCATTACGACCCGGGGACTCCAGTTCTGAGAGCTCCACCTGCCCTGGTCCCATGCCATCCTACAGCTGGTGGTGCTCACTTCCCGGGAAAGAAGAGGAACCAGCGAAGTCCAGCTGCCCAGAGTCAAAGTGCCTCAGCTGAGCGCCACTGCCACTGACCGCAGGACACAGGGACAGCGCAGACGTAGCCCCCACCCAGATCTGGCACTCAGAGGCCACAGTGAAGCCTGGCCATACGTGAGCCGCTCCGGGACTCTACAAGTGACAGTGGGGCACAGCCTTGGCTGCCACCACCCAAGGGGGAGGATCAAGGGCCAGGCCCATGGGTAGGGGAAGGGGACCAAGGCCCAGCCACCCCGACAGACACACACCAGGTGCTCGGCCCTACAGTCTTCCTCCCTGTACTAACGTCAGTCACACAAGAACGAATGTTTACATAGAAAGAATTCTTCCCACATTTAGGATTAATAAAAAGGCAAATGGATGTTCAAAAGGACTGTGTAACTGATAAATCTGACATACTGTAATATTAAAAAGAAATACAAAAATTCTTCCCAATGCTTAAAATGAGGGAAGGCCCCTGACTGTGAAGGCACCCTGAGCAGATTAAAACCTGTGAAATCAGCAAGAAATTCTATGACTGCAGAGGGCAGCGCCTAAGCCCACCACTGCAGCCCTACCTTTCCTGGGCGAGCTCTGCGGGGATGTGGGTGAAGACAAGAGCTTGGAGGACGCGCTGGACAGCATGTCCTCCGCCTGCTTTGGGTGGCGCTCCAGACTGCCTTCTTCAGACAGCGAGAGGATCTTCTTTAAAGCTTGCGGAGAGTTTATGCCTACAAAAATAAGCAAATAACTAAAAACTTCTAACAACTAAAGGGCTGTATTGAAACTCAGTGCTACTGTAAGGTTCCACATATTTACAACTGGATATTCCTTGTACCGTCACGATATGAGAACAGGTGGAGGAGGCAGAGATGCCTGTGCTCAGACTTCCGATTCCCAGGGCCAAGAGGTGGCTGTGGATGTTTTAAATTCCAAACCTCTGACACCATAACCATGTGCTTGGCAACAACCAAGATTAAGTGGACAATATGTGAACATCTGAATTCGGGGCTCAGTGGGGTCACTTCAACTCCAGCTTGGGTTGGAAGCAGGTATTTGCTACTACGGGGCAGTTCAGCTCTGGGGAAAGGGGAACACCAGGAGAAAAGCAGAGGGCCCAGAGACACGGAGCGGATGGGGGAGGCAGGATACAGCACCAAGGGTCCTCATCAGTAATGTACTCAGTCCACAGAGGAAGAGGAAACTAGCTGCCTCTTCCACAGAAGCCAGGATGGCGGCTCCCAGGGTGCATGGGCCTGGCCGGGAAGGGTGCGTGGGTAGACACAAAGTGACCCCTTGATTATTCTCCAGGAGTATGGGAGACACTTTACAAAGCTTCTCATAGTACTATGGGGCGTCCTCAAACTCCCTCAGAGCTGACAAGCAGAGAGATTTCCAGAAAGGAAGAACAGCCCCAAACCATGTCCCCTTCCTGCCAGCATGCCATCTCATGTAAGCAGCCTTCTGCACTCTAAATGGCGTCTCTGGGGAAGAAGCGATACTATCAGGCACAGCGGTGTGAAAACTCCAAGTGCACCAAAGCTACAGGCCAGCAGGCAGTCGCCTCAGGCTGGCAGGGCCTCAGCAGAGTGTCAGCACTTCACACATGGCGCCCTCCGCACAGAGGGGCAGGGTACCTCGACCACACTCCTCCGAGCCGCCTCAGGGAGGATGGAGGTCAGCCAACAGCGCCCAGCACAGAGACCGAGGGACCTCACCCAAGGCCCAGCGCCTCTAAGCCAGCCTGCTGTACCCTGGTAAAAACATTCCTTATTTCTGTTCAGGTTACTTCCTTCCACAGACAGGCAGAAGAAATAGTGGGCACACTTTAGGAAAGCTTGTTCTGTGGTGCATCTATTTGAGAAGGGTAAACCAATGAATGCGCTGTTTTTAAGGAAAAAGATGAGGTGTAATTTCATTAACCTGCGAGCTCTGTCCGTATTTCCAGTGCCTGAAACTTGCAGAAGTGGGAGCTCGGTGAGGCAGAGCTGTGCCCACGGCCGGCATGCCTGCAGGCAGGCTCCGAGGCCTGCTACTGACATGGCTGAAGCCAGCTCGGTTCGAGGCACTGACCTGAGAAACACTCAGGCACAGAGCCGGCTCACCACTGCTAGCACAGCCGTGTCCCCCACCCACTTCCACGCTGGGTGCCCTGGGCAGCCTAGGACAGCAGAGCAGCATCTCGAGGCCACATGCACATGCACACAACCTGGGCTTGGGAGGATGAGGTCTGAGGAGTCCCCCCAGACTTACCGACCAGCCCCTTGGTAGCGCTCGAGGTGGCCACCCTGAGGGCTGGCACAGGGCCAGCCTTGGGCTCCTCTGTGGGCGCGGGCGCCAGGCTGCTGCCATTCTCGGCCTCAAGGGACATGTCCTTGGAGCCAGTGGGAGAGGCCCAGCGGGCCCTGGACTGCGCCTGCTCCAGGCTTTCTTCGATTGGGTTCTGTCTGTCGCCCTTCTGGCCATCCTCGGCAAAAATCAAGTGGTCCAGGTGGCCCCTGTTGGCCCAGGGCCCCATGGGGTCCACGGGGTAATCGCAGAGCACAGGCCCGAACAGTGGCGTCTCCCAGCTCCTCAGGTGCTGGATGGTCTGGATGTTGTTGTGCGAGTCACTGGAGCATGAGGTCCAGCTCCCATGGCCACTGTTGGCGGCATCCAGGGACGTGCAATAGCCCTGGTCCTGCGAGAGCACCATGGCTGTGGCAAACACGTCCTGGGCCAGGGCCATGGCTGCATAGGACCTGTGGGGAGGGAGGGACAGGAGGAGCTGACTGTGAGCCTCTGCCTCACTCTGTGGTAGGGGACAGGGCAGTCCGCAGGTCCACGAGGGCCAGGAGGTCGGCATGGTTTGTGGAGAAGGAGCCACGAGTACTCAAGGAGGGTCCAGGATGGGGTTGTCCCATGGGGCCCTTGGCGCGGGCACCCAGAGGGCCAGGTGGTGAGGGGCAGCAGGGCGAGGAGGCGGGTGCAGGAAGGGCACCCACCCCAGGCTGTACTGGTCTGGCTCTAGCACTGTCTGCTGCTCTGCCCTGACAACGCCCAGGCCGATCTCCACCAGGCTCACGGAGTGCTGCTGCCTCCGCTCCTCCTGCAGGGCCATGGGCACCGAGTCCAAGGAGGAGTTTCTGACCATACCGGACCTAGAGGAGATCTCGCTGGGGCCAGAGTCGGAGAAGTTGTCCACGCTCCAGCTGGGGGCCAGGGTGTAACCTGCAAACACATGGGAGACCTCACATGATGGAAGAAAAGCCAAGCAGAAATGCAGGACGCTCACTGGGAAGGGGACCCCTCATGCCTCAGAGTTCGCACTCCTGTCCTCACAAAGGAGCCCCTTACCTAAGGAGGAGCACCGGACTGCTTAGTGGAGATACAGAAGTCAGGGCTGTGCCAAGCGAGCTCAGCGCCCGCTGTCCCCCACACCCTGTGGCCCAAGGTCACAGCACATGGAGGCTGGGCACAGGGCGTCTGCTTATGCACCAATCAGCGTTAAAAAGTAGAAATCTCATTTGTTTTGTTTTTTTTTTTTGAGACAGGGTCTGAGCATTCCAGGCTGGCCTCAAAGTTGCAGCGACCCTCCTGCCCCAGCCTTTTGATAGCTGGCACAGAGTGTAGGG